TCATAATCCCTGAAGTGTCTGTAATTCTCTGGATGAGTCACTCCTCGATGGGCGACCACACCTAAATGCTGCAGAAATTGCCAATGGTGGCTCAGGAGAGGGTGCTCTTCTCTTTGAGCCTACACCTCCTGTGTGAGCGCGGGGTGCGATTCCCAGCTTGTGTTGGTATACTTGGGCTAGCTCTCGCTGAGCTAGTGCGCTAAAGGTAGCGTCCTGGCTGCAGCAGCACCGGCGGCAAGCCGTCCAGAGGACGTACCCCCGGGGCCCAGGCGGGTTTGTACTCAAGGCAGCTAGCTAGTGCCGCCACTCGCTGCTGCCTGTGCTACCATGGCTACGTTTCTATTGTTAGCCCGCGAGCTCATGAGAGCTAGGGCTCATGATAATCAAGTATCCTGTGCAGGAAATGGCCCAACTTGATTATCATGCACATTGTGTAAAGAGTTGTCACTTTGGATGGGCTATCACCAGCAGGAGAGTGAATTTGTGGGGGGCGGGGGGGTGGAGGGTGAGAAAACCTGGATTTGTGCTGGAAATGGCCCAACCTGATGCTCACTTTAGATAAGCTATTACCAGCAGGACAGTGGGGTGGGAGGAGGTATTGTTTCATATTCTCTGTGTGTATATAAAGTCTGCTGCAGTTTCCACGGGATGCATCCGATGAAGTGAGCTGTAGCTCACGAAAGCTCATGCTCAAATAAATTGGTTAGTCTCTAAGGTGCCACAAGTACTCCTTTTCTTTTTGTCCTAACAATGAACCTAGAACCACAGATCCTCACTCCCTCTCTTGAACTGCTGTGTAGCTGTGCTGCATGTTGTTAAACAGCTACCATGCTCCACCTCACAGGTAGCTACATTACAGTAGTGGATTAAATGATCTCTACAAATGGGCTGTCCCTTTCTCACCTCAGTGGAGGATTAGTTAAGCACCTGAAGTTCCTCACATGAAGACAGTCAATAGAAAAGGACAAGCTAACTAAGTCTCTTGGATTCTACATCTTGCCAGCAAAGGCTAGATAGGCTTCCCTAGAGCATGCAGTAATCCCTAGAGGAATAATTTTGTTGCTCTGGGGCATCCTTTGCCTTTGACTGGATGATTGAGGTGCAGCTCCCAGCTTCAGTGCACTTTAAGGTTAGTTCTTTTATGAGAGAGCCAGTGTCTCTCAGGCCCTGCAGTGGAGCTGTGACCCCAGTTTCCTAGTTTGGCACTCCAGATGCCTGTTGATATTTTTTCATCTGAGTTCATGACCCAAAGATGTGACATGGCCTGGCCTATTTAGATACCCATGCTTGCTCTGGAAGGTGTCAGATCTGAGTCACACTAGTTCTATGAGGTGCACCCCTCCTAAAACATGATCTGACTAAAACAAAGTATTCCCTCCACCCCAGGTCATAATGTGACCAGCCCCTTTAAGGGTCAGCAGGCTCCAGTGCACCTGTGACTGATTACCTGCGGCCCCACTGGGCTTACGGTAAGGCACCTGTGCTTTATAAAGTGGGGAGTAGAAACTGTTCAGGCTGCAGCTGATGGTGGTTTCTCTCTCAGGTGATTAGCTTGTTCTAACTCAGAGACTTTAAGTTTGGGAGCTCTGGTCAGCCTCCTGAGTGAGGACCTTATGAACTGATTATTGTAATTGTTCCTTTCCTGAAACTCCATTAAAGGGCACATGCTATTCTGTGAGTATGTGTGGCTCACTTCTCCTTGCCCAGATCTGTTAAAGCTGAACTTTCATCCAATAGAGAGAAATTAAGGTAGGTCACACCTGCTGTGCCATGCTAAGCCACAGGGGGGCATGTGAGGACAGCCTATGCTCTTACACCCCACTTCTGGTATCTGATACTCTACAAGTCCCTGAAGATCAATTGCAGATCAGTTTCTAGCTAAAAATATGATGTGTCTAGCAACTTTAATGCGCAGCTGGAGGAAACACCTTTGAGGAATATAACTACAAAATAGGGTAAGAAACATTCATCCCTAGGACAATGGGATTTAATATTTCAAATTCCCTTAAGTGGCTGCTGAATCAGAGATACTAGAGATTAGACAGACCTATTAGTTTTCCTGGATGTCACCCAGAGAAGGGTTGTAATTTATTATATATTTACTAGTGTTTTGGCCAACGAGTTTTAAAAACCCCAAGCATGAGGGCTTCCACTGCTTTCCTTAGAGACTATCCCATACCCTGATACCTCTCCATCTAGATTTTCCTGATACTGAGCTAACATTTTTGTAATGCCATCCTATTTCTCCCAGTGGAGCCCCCACTTTCATATACACCCACTAATAATTCCTTTCCCTTCTTAGGGTTCACACCCTTCAGATGCTGCCAGACTCTCAAGCACCCTGATCAATTTTGTTGCTCTTCACCCAACTCACTCCAATTTGTATCAATACCCTTCTGGAACTAAGGTTTCCAAAACTGAACAAAATATTCCAGGCACAGCCACATCTGACCCATATAGAGAGCGATAATAATCTCTCTGCTCCAGGACACCTTAGAAGTGTAGCCTCAAAATTCCACAGGCCTTTTCTGTGGCCATTTCACACTGCAAATGCATTTAATTTGTTGTCAGCTGTGTCCACTAAATGATTGTAAACTTCAGGAACTTTGTCTTCATACTTGCTTGCAAAGTGAACAGCACCAAGAGGGTGCTATATGCATAATAAATCAAATCAAATAAAACAATGCCTCTCTCAACTAGGTCTCTTTCAGCATTTCTGCTTCTTAGGTTTCTCCCTGTCACTGAGCTGCCTAAATTATTTTTTTCTTGGCTCTTTCAGGTGTGTGTTTCCTGAATATCCTTGTTTAAGTGTGATTTGCTTTAACGCAAAAGTTATTGCCCCTAACTCAATGTAAATTTATTCTGAATCTCATTATGATAGATAAAGATGAATTAAATACTGGACTGGAAGTTGGTGGTTGCCTAGGGACTAGTGATCATGACCTGACTACATTCAATATTGGAAAACAACAGGACAGTCATAACTAGTAATATCTTCAAAAGGGCTAATTTCCCAAATCTGAGGAAAACTGTGAGCAAAATTGATTGGGAAGACAAATTTAGACAGAAAAATGTGAATAAAAATTGAGAATTCTTTAAGAATAGTTTATTATATGGCTAAAAAGCCATCATTCTACTAGCAAAAAAACAGAACAGCTTTGACTAAAAGCCCATCCTGGTTCAGCAGCGAAATGAAGGCAGCAAGTAAAAATAAATAAATATTTAATATACCTATAACAAATTAATAAGGACTAGATAGCAATCTGCATATATTAGAATTTATTAAGTGCAGAAAATTGATGAGGGAAGCTAAAGACACCTGAAAAACCCCCATAGCTGCCAGGGATAAGGTTAAGAAGTTTTTTCAAATATACTAGGAACAAAAGAAATTCTAGCAATGGTATAGGTTAGATGAATATGGTAAAATTATTAATAATGATACAGAAAAGGTAGAAGTGTTCAATAAATAGTTCTTTTCTCTATATGGAAAAAGTAGAATGAAGTACGCATATTGTAGGAGAATGACAAAGTGCTGTCCATTCCACTAATAACTGAAAAGGATGTTAGACATCTGCATCGAGTGATGAACATTTTTAAATCAGCAGTGCAAGATAACTTGCACCCAAGAGTCATAAAAGAGTTGATTGAGGAGATCTCTGGTCCACTGATGTTAATTTTTAATAAACCTTGGAATACTAGGAAAATTCCAGAGGGGTGCTAATATTGGGCAATAGTCAAAGAAGGACAAGTGGGATGACGCAGGTACCTATGTGCCAGTTTGACTGACATCAATGTAGGCAAACTAATGACAAGCTGATATGGAATTCAACTGATAAAGAATTAAAGGATAGGAATATAATTAATGCCAGTCAACATGGTATTATAGAAAATAGGTCTTATCAATAAATCCAATTTCATTCTTTGAGATTATAAATTTGTTTGATAAGGGTAACCATGTAGATATAATGTCCTTAGACTTTTATATGGTGTTTGACTCAGTACCACACAACTTTTTGATTTAAAAAAGGCACTATGCAATATCCATAAAGCACACACTATATGTATTGCAAACTAGCTAACAAGCAAAAAGAAAAGGAGTACTTGTGGCACCTTAGAGACTAACACATTTATTTGAGCACAAGCTTTGATGAGCTACAGCTCACTTCATCAGATGTATTGGACGTAGCTCACGAAAGCTTATGCTCAAATAAATGTTAGTCTCTAAGGTGCCACAAGTACCCCTTTTCTTTTTGCGAATACAGACTAACACGGCTGCTACTCGAAACCTAGCTAACAAGCAGATCTCAAAAAATAGTTGTCAGTAGCGAAATAATCATTGACTATGGATGCTCTGACACGGATGGGTTTGTTGTACCAAGAAGCAGGGCCCCGCTGGGACCAGTGATCCTGCAGGCAGCCCCAGTGCTGGGCTGGGGACTGTGGTCTCTGCAGGGGGTTGCACTGTGATATGCAGACCCTGCTCTGCTGGCAGGACCTGGAGCTGCTTCCCCAGCCCCAGGAGGGTGAAGGTACCAAGGTGTGGAGTGCACAAGAACACACACACCTGGAAGGTACCACAACGTGTGTGTGTGTGGGGGGACACATCCTCACCCCCCCCCCCGAAGGTACCATAACATGTGGGGTGGGGAGACATGGCACATCTTGACCCCCTCCCCATTCAGGTATAACAGTGGGGGGCAGCCTCACACCCCAGAAAGTATAGCAATGTGTATGGGGGTGGGGGGACAGCCTCACTCCCCTGGAAGGTACCACAACGCGTTGAGGGGTAACGGCCCATCCGGCCACCCCGCACCCCCAGAAGGCCCTACAACACGTGGGGGAGCAGATCCTCCCCCCCCCCCGGAAGGTACCACAACGGCGGGGGGGGACACCCTGACCCCCCCACGGAAGGTACCGGGGAGCGGGGGAATTAATGCGCCCCCTCCCCCACGCCGGAGCCCTGGCGTTCAGCGCGTGAGCTCTGCCGCCGCCTTTGCGTCACTTCCGGCGGGCTGTGGGCGCTCTGGTTCCGGGGTCACGGTGTCCGATCCCCCGGAACGGTTCCTCCCGCTCGGAGCCGGCGCTCCGGTAATTTGCCTGGGGAAGGCCCGGGCGATGGGGCGTGGCGGGCCGGCGTGAGGAGAGAGACAGTGGGGGAGGGGTGGCCTCTCTTGCCGTGGGACCGAGCGCGTGGAGGGGCCGGGGGCGCCCCCCCCGGATTGGGGGGCTCGGTGCTGTCGCGGGGGGGGGAGGGTCTGTGACATTGATACAGGGCCTGGGAGGCTGCCAGTCTTGCCCCTAGCGCAGTGGCCGGGACCTGGCCCCTGTGCCCGACTGAGCAGGGTCCCCTGCCTGGGGGCAGGTGTTTAGGGAAATCGGCCCCCTCCCAATCGCGCATGGGCGCCAGCTGTGATGCCTAAAGGGCTGACAGCCCCGGCTGCGAACAGATGGGGGTGATGCTTAGCCCTTGCTGCTGGTATCCAGACTACTACCTAGCCTCCCTGGGGTGTGACGAGAGGAGACACGTCCCAGGAAATAACCCAAACGCCCATCCTGCTCCCTCGCACCGAGGCCCTAGGTTCTGCTGTAGAAGATGAAAGGATCAATTTATGCCGTTGCATCAGGGAGTTGATCCTGTCCGATGTTTATACAGATGATCCCTACTCAGTACTCTAGGGGAAGGCACAGCCTTCCCGTCGCCCACAACCTCTTTCAGAAGGGCTCTGTGCAGGTGAATGGGAATCACAGTAGCCACAAATTTAATCCTATTTTTTCCTAGTGCCAGTCCCAAATCAAGCTCCAAGAAATAACTCAAATATAGTATTTCATCCTTTATTCTCTTCCCCTCTCCCTTGTCCACTCACCAGATGTCCCTAACCCCTGTTTGCCAGAAGCTGGGAATGAGCAACAGGGAATGGATCGCTTGATGATGACCTGTTCTGTTCATTCCCTCTGGGGCACCTGTCATTGGCCACTGTTGGAAGACAGGATACTGGGCTAGATGGACCTTTGGTCTGACCCAGTATGGCCATTCTTGTGTTTAGGCAATAAAGGACTCTGCAACATAATTCATATTTCCAGTTTGAAGGTATCTGCTGTTTAATCTGGTATATATTTGAGGAACTGTTGCAATAAGAATTTGTTTCTGTATCCACTACACTTCTCCAGTCTGTGCACTGCAGTACTTTCCAGTATAATTAAGACAGGTACTTCTGGAATGCTACACATCTGACTATAAAGTATCTAATTGCCAAAATGATATAAATGTCATAAATGCTCATTGGCAGTTACACACCACTTTGTAGGGGATCTCAATGAAAACTTCCTGCTGCAAGCCGATAGTCAGAAGAGTTTCTTAGGGTAGTGATTGTGACTTGACCAATGCCTTATGCAGAGACTTAGAAAACTTCAGTCAGCTGTATTGATACAGATCTGTTGGTGTAAGAGACCCTAAAAATCCCAATCAGGACAATTTATATCCAAATAAAAACTGAAAATAAATGAAATGCTAATATAAACTTATTTCTCTTTGATTTATTGTTCGCAGTTTATTGGTGGCACAGCTCCATAGCTCTGTCATCATCAACTGACTTATGTGCAAAAGCTTCTTCTAATATTATTTTATACCGTTTTGGGGCATAAAACAATGACATGGTCTAGTAATCTGATTCTAGGAGAGGGACACAGGAACTCCTGAACGCTAATTCTGGCTCTAATACCAATTCCCATTGTGCCTGTGATTGAGCCACTTAGCCTCTCTGTGCCATAATTTTCCCACCTGTGTATTAGGGATAATACATATCATGTAAATACTAAGCATTATGACTGATAGTATGGGGATTATTTGTTGTGTGTGTTGTTTTGGACAGACTTCCTGCTAACTAATGTCAGGAGACAGTGGTTGTACCCGAACAAGCCCATCCGTGGGGTCTCCATCGGATAATGAATTCCTGCCAGATCGGCCAAGGTATGTGTGCTCACTGTCTCCTGAACTTATTGCCAAGGCTCGTGAAGAGCTGCAGGAGAAACCTGAATGGAGGCTTCGTGATGTGCAAGCCCTCCGAGACATGGTGTGTAAGGATTACCCTACTCTGGGCACGTGTCTGGACGATGCTTTCTTGCTAAGGTTCCTTAGAGCCAGGAAATTTGATTATGACCGAGCGCTACAGCTTCTGGTGAACTATCACAGCTGCAGGAGGAGCTGGCCTGAGGTCTTCAATAACTTGAAACCATCTGCAATCAAGGCTGTCCTAGCATCTGGCTTTGTCACTGTGCTGCCTCACTTGGACACTGAGGGACGCCACGTTGTCTGCATTCGTCCAGGTATTGTAATGCCTGAATTCCCTGGTTGGAACAAGATTCTTTGTGTCTTTGAGGTATCTCTGACTGTGCCAAAGTCTGTTTCTTGCTCCCTTGCAGACACTGGTGACTCTTGCAGATTACATGGTATTGCTTCCTTTTGAAATCTGAAAAGTTACTTGTGAAAGGATTAATGTCTGTTGTTTGCCCAATTTAGATCACTTTTTTCCTATTTTAGCAATAGCTGCAGTTGACTAAAACCAAAAATACAAAGTGGGTTAATGTGGTTGCCTGATGATTTGAGAAAAATATGAATGTGCAATCAGCCTGAGATAGCAATAAGTCTGCTGTCTTCTAGATGCACATTTATAATAAGCCTCTTTGACAACAAGCTGGGGGTTCAAGGTGGGGCAAAGAGCCTCTGACATCCCAAATCTGCTTTCAGTGCTGCCAGGTTTGCTGTAAACTGTTTTCATACTTTGCTTTCCCGTCTACCTGCTTTCTTTCTGAGATGAAATGATTTCTCTTCTAGTAATCTGTGCTGGGGAAAGTAGGGGGTTCGTAAGATCACGGTCTTTGTTCCTTGAAGTAAGTATGGCATCTTGCTTGAGAAATGTTACTGTGAACTAGGAGTGTGGGTGTTAAAGAATAACTTTGGAGTTCTGGGAAATAGATCATCATTTTTTGGCATATATATATATAGTCATTTTATATTTACTTTCCAAATAACCATACGTTTTGTAACCTTAGACAGATGGACACCAAGTAATTATCCAATTACTGAGAACATTCGTGCCATATACTTAACATTAGAAAAACTCATTCAGTCTGAAGAGACCCAAGTGAATGGAATTGTAATCCTTGCAGACTACAATGGAGTCAGTTTATCTAAGGCATCTCATTTTGGTCCTTTTGTAGCCAAAAAAGTGATTGGAATTCTTCAGGTAAGACCTGCCTTGTGCACTGTAAACTACTGCTTCTATGTCTAGAGTTCTGCTAATGCTAACAAAAATATTCATATGTTGGCTTTTACCTGAATGCTTTTAAAAATGCGTTTCTGCCTTCTGCCAGCTCTTAACTGGTTGATGCTGGCTGCTAATGGGTCTGACTTTATACTCCGAGCCTCCCAAGTCTGCTGCTACTTTAGGAACTTGAAGTTTGAGTTGTTGAGCCCACTTGCCATCTGGTAGGGGGAGGATACATGAAGTAAGACTAGGAAGAAGAGACCCCCTTGCTGATCTTTGAGTGTTGATAATATGCTCTGCTGTACAAATGGTCTTTGCTAAAGGAGCTTCCAATCTAGATGGGACATAGAACCATTCACACACTGAGCCTTGGGTGATTGCGCAGATTTCAAGTGGTGCTGCAGGAATTTTGCAGAGTTGACTTTTGAAAGTCTTCCCTGAAAGTTGTGTTTTGAGGAAAGATTTCTAAGAGGAAAGAGGTTGAGAAGAGAGAGGCTGCTTCAAGCCTAGGGGGGCAGCATAGAAGGAAGTGCAAAGCAGACATAGGTTACTTTGTCTGAGTGGCAGGAGAGGAACATAATTTTAGTTGTAGCATTTTCTGTAGTCTAGAGCAGGGGCGGACAAACTTTTTGGCCTGAGGGCCACATCGGGTTTCCGAAATTGTATGGAGGGCCAGTTAGGACCCCTGCCGCATCCAACCACTCCTTCTCCCTGACGGCCCCTGGAACCCCTGCCGCCTCATCCAACCCCTCCCTCCTTCCTGACTGCCCCCCTCCCAGGACCCCTGCCCCCATTCAACCCCCCTGTTCCCTGCTCTCTGACCGCCCCAACCCCTATCCACACCCCGCCACCTGATCCCCGCTCCGAACTCCCCTGCCTTCTATCCAACACACACACACACCCTTACCACGCTGCCTGGAGCACTGGTGGCTGGCAGTGTTACAGCCGCACGGCCCAGAGCACTAGGACAGGCAGCCATGCTGCCCGGCTGGAGCCATCCATGCCACCGTGCAGCACAGAGCACCAGGTCAGGCTGCGGCTCTGCAGCTGCGGTGCCTAGCAAGATCTCACAGCCCCGCCGCCTAGAGCATTGCGCCGGCAGCCTGGCGAGCTGAGGCTGCAAGGGAGGGGGCTAGCCTCCCAGGCCAGGCAGGACGGTCCCGCAGGCCGGATGTGGCCCATGGGCCGTAGTTTGCCCACCTCTGGTCTAGAGGGGAGCATGGTAATGTAACTGTGGGCAAGCTCCTCTTGAATGACTTTCTTCTTCCTGTGAGCTTTAGTCTAGTCTGAGCTGTGCATGCTTTTTTGCTGGATCCCTGCAGGGAGAATGGGGAGAGTTCCGTGGAGACAAGAATAGACACTTAATTGCACACTGGCTAATACTTCTCACCGTTCTTACAGAAGTTCCACAATCTGAACATGATTGTTTTGCAAAGTTCTGTCTGAATCCACAATTAACTTACACAAGTAAAATGGGTGATAAATTTCAATTGATAAATACAGATATAATAAAATAATTACACAGAAGTTTGGGTGAGGGACTAATACTTATTTAACTTGCCATTGAAGACCCCAGTTGAAATATGGTGTAAGTCACATGTGAGATGAGTGTACTAGTTCTTATTTTATAGCAGATGCTATTTGGCACACTTGAAAGCCTGTGGTGAGAGGAGATGACCCCAGGGCTAGAATAATCAGAGTTTTTGCTAGCTAGATTTGGGGTAACTTGGCTGACGCATGCAAAGAAGCTTGCCCAGATTCTGACCACACTACCTTGCTTTTGCAAGAGTTATCAATCTCTCGCTGCCAAGAGCCCCCAGCTTCATTAAACATTTTACAGAGGGAAAACATTTGTGCAGTGCAAGTGTCCACTCTTCAGTCCAAGCAATGAATGCGTTCTCTGTACGGCCAGAGTTGGTTATTGGAAGAGGGAAGCATCAGTAACTCAATGATGAGACCATGATCCTTAAAAACACCTTTTCCCTTTAGTGATTCTTCCTACTGAAAGCCTCCCAGTGAAAGCACCATGACTAACCTTATTTTTTAATTGCAATTTATACTGCAGAGCCCTGTGTTCCACTGGCAGCTGAGACAGCCTTCTAACCTCCCTCTGCTCCATGTGCTGATGTGGTGTCCACCAGCGTAGGCCCCCTTTATCTTTTGCAGTCAATTTGACCAACTGTTCAGATTTCCAGTTGAATAGTAGCAATAGGTTTTCTCCTTCTGTGCAAATACATGAAAGTTTTCCCAAATAACATGGGCTCTGACCTTTAATCATTTAAAATGCTTTGTTTAAAACATGGGCTTCTTTCTGGCCAGTCAGTGCTTTTGATTCCCCAGTAGTACAGGGAATCTGACCCTCAGAATCCAGGGTCATTCATTTTGTGTAATTTTTATATAGGAGCTGCTCCTGCCTTAATTAAAAACATATTTTTTCAAAAGAAGACTGGGGCAAAAGTAGAGACGTAGTAAATGAAATGTACTATTGTTGGTACATCTCCTGATCCAAGAGTGCTGTCAGGCTCTATGTGAGTGCCAGACACTCTGGTTTTTGTCCGATTCTTGCACCCATATACTTTACTTCACTGCATCAATTTACATTTGAACTGCAAATAGAATCTTGGGAGCAATTGGGTTGTGTGGGCAGTCAGTGCCAGGAAGGTTAAATAGAAAAAGCTGTCCAGTGTTTCTAAACCACTATAAAAATCTCCTCCTTCCCCAGGATGGTTTTCCCATTCGAATCAAAGCTGTCAATATTATAAATGAGCCTCGCATATTCAAAGGAATTTTTGCCATCATCAAGCCTTTTCTGAAGGAAAAGATAGCAAACCGGGTAAGTGATTGTGCCTTTTAATATTGGACTTAATGACAGGCTCTTTGCTGGACATGAAATGTAATGAATATTGAAACAGATAAAAGTTGGAAATGGCAGTGTCCTTTACTCAATCTGCCTGTGACTATATCATCCTTTGCTTCCTGGCTTTTGTCTGGCTCTGTCATAACTGTATCACTTTGAACATGCCCGAGGGTTTGGGAGACTGGTCAGTAGGATTTCTCAGAAGAATGACAGAAGTGATTGGCTTTCTTTGATAAATACATCTTGGCATTTTACCTGGTTAAATGCACATTTTTAGGACCTATATTATGTAATCAGTATAGTAACTTTCTTCTGGAGTTGGGATTATTGAGCCAACAGCATCCTATGCATTAATGTTATGTTTGTTGGAGGAAATCTTCTGAGTTGTCCTTTCTCTCACTCCTCTTTATTCTTTCCCTTCCTTTCTCAAAGGTCCTGTGTTGTTGTAACTTTCTCATCAGCTAAACAGGTTGGATGCAGTTCCCCCTGCAGTTCGTTGATTCTTCTCTTTCACATGCAGAAGAGGATGCCTCTCTCAACAAGGCTGAGTGCTGCCTTCTCTGCACTCCCAGTCCTTGTGAATGAGTTTAGACTCAAACTGAACTGGAAACGTAGTTATTGTGATTAAGATTTACTAGCTGGATCGCCTATAAGGCGAGACTTTCAAACAGGTATCGAACTGGCTTCTGCTCTTGCATGCACAATGTTGTGCACTGTCCTTTGCAAAAAGAAAATGATGTTGCTTGCAATTGTGCGTGCAGAGCCAGTTGAAATATGCCCCCTTAGAATTATTTAAAGAGCAAATAGACTCTCCCTACTTGTCATGTGCTGGTCTCGCTGGAGTTTTAAAATGCTTAATTACAAGCTGAAAAGGTGTCTGATACTTTAATAAAATATATTTTGGGATTTTCTTCCTTAGTTTTTTCTTCATGGCTCTGATTTGAATTCTCTTCATCAAAACCTTCCACAAAGGATCCTTCCTGAAGAATATGGTGGCACGTCAGGGAAGCTGGATGTCGCTGCCTGGAATGAGTTGCTGCTCGCCTCGGAAGAGGATTTTTTGCATGACTTCTCTCAGCTGGTTCTTCCAGGTGACAGCTCACCATCTGAAGCTGTAATGAGTGGGGATGCTGAGGAGAAGCAGAGTGAAGAGCCTCTGCGAGGCATGAAACCTCAACTCTACTACTGTTATTAACAAGTCAGTTAAAGGAAGTTTTTCCTTGCACAGTCAGTCTAGATGCCCTGTCCTGTTCTGAAAGGAGTAAGAACACAGTGGGGTTATGAATTCTTCCTTACCCCAAACCTCCAGTTTGTGAGTAGAGGCATTTTACGCTGTGGAACCAAAGCAAGTTAAAGTGGGTGAGATGGGGGGGCAAGGCAGAGTTCTCTTTGGAATCTAGGCAGGTCACACAATTCCCAAGCCACCTCAAGTGTTAAGGATTGTTAATCTCAGTGTGAAAGATGCAGTCTAGCAAATTCCTCTTAATAGTAGTGAGAGAAAAAATATCTCATTAGAATGAATCTCATAAGTGTGTGTGTCTCAGGGTAAAAGGCAGAAAAGACTTGCTAGTTTGGCAATCATCAGAAAATAGCATCATCACTGCACCCTGCAAAGTGAAGCTCTGTCAGTGGAGATTGTCAGAAATGTCCAAGTCACAGTCCTGGACCTAATTACCTGGTCCTGTCTGTGTACTAGCATGTTCCAGGAGTATCAGAATGTGTACTGGAGCTTCTCCCTGATATTTTGCACACTCTGTGTGTGTAGAATTCCTAACAGATTTGCCCTTTGGATTTGAAAGGAGAAAGTTACCGTAATTTTGTAAACATTGTGACTAGTTATTTCAAAGCATAGTGTAATCAGACACAAATTCCACTTCCAGAAAATAGAGCCTTTCAGATCATGTATTGCGTAGCTTTTTTCCAATAAGATGCAACTTTGAATATTTACAACAATATAGACAACCTGAGAAGTGAGGTCATTCACTCAGATATAATCAGTTGCTCTTTCCTGCCTTACTTTTCAACTTCCCTAAGTAACTTAAATAGAATCTATGTGGAAAGATTTTGTAGCAGGTAGCATCTATAGAAGGCAATATTAAGTAAGAGAAAGCACGGTAGTTCTTGAGCTACATTACTTTGGATAGAATTTTTGAATCTGAGTCTTCGTAAACCAAATGCAGACAGATATTTTTAAAGAATGTTCAGATTTGTTGTATTGCAGTTGTTCTCTGTTCATGTTTGTCCTGATTTAAGTAACACTGTTGCTATTTGTCATCCCCTTGTCTTTGGATGGCAGCTTCTTTTGTAAAGTGTAGACTTTGGTCAGTTCTGTAGGGCTTAAGCTTAGGTTATGTGTTCCAGTACTTTAGATCCTTAGTTCTAATGTCAAATGAGGTTAACACGTTCTGCATCTGTGTAGGCTATTCCCGAAGTTCATTCTGTGTCATGGTATTGAATTTTAAATGAACTCTGAGCACATTATCTTTGCACGTCATGCACTATATAAATAGTGCAAAGGTGAAACCTCATTACAGCCAGGAAAGCACACCGCGTTATTTAAAAGGGTTTGTCAGTGGACAAGAACACTGATTATAACCAAACACCTCATCTTTATAGCACTTTTTAAATGGCTGGAATTTCTTTGGGGGGATAGGGAAGGTAAATCTTTTTACTGAGTGCCGAGTGGGAAACAGGGACCGGTTATCTTACTGTAAATATGAAAGGTATGGTCTCAAGGAGTTGGACCATCCTTTTCTCTGAGTGCCAAACTGTGCTTGTTTGAATGTCTCTTCCTAGATTACACCATAGCATAACTTTGTTGCCAAAAAGAGTTTGGGAAGGAATAGATTAGGGAAATCACAGCTCCCTGACTTGGTAAAATGCTAGCTCTTTTATTCAAGCAATAGACGCGTGGGATTGGGTTTTGAAAGGACTAAAAAGTATAAAGTTTTTTCCAATTAGCAGTTCATAGCTCCAATGGGGACAAGAAGTTCATATCCTGTCACTTGAACAGAAAGACTTTAACAGAACACTTTTACTGTTGTGTAGGATGCTGGCAAGAGTCTATTGAGAGAATATAGCTTTCTTCTTTCCTTCCCCTTTTTAGGTATGAAAGATAATAGGAGCCTGCCTCTAACATCAATGCATGACAGCCCCTGCCCCTTTCTATACTAGTCTTAATTTTCATGGGGGAAAGCATTTCAGGTGAGAAATATCATTCCCGTCATTAACAATCAGTCAGCCCCCAACTTTTGTGCAGACCTGGCAGAAATGCAGGGCTGACTAGCGTCCCTTCATTTGAGCAAAACTTTCCTCTCAGATCTACTGTGCAGTGCTTAACCTTCACGTTGCTTGCCGTTATTGTGGAGATAAATCCAGCTCTTCTTCCACCTAGCAAAATAAGCAGAATGTGGCATATCTTAGGTTGACAATTATGGTTTTAAGCAATCTAACTAAATTAACTGCCAAAAATGTGTTGGGGTGTCTTGGATGGTTTGAGTGAATACTATTAATTTCCCTCTGTCCACCATGAAAAATTAAAAAAAAAACCACTCCAGGATGCAGCATTTGTCTTTGAAGTGGGTGCATGGCAGGCTTTATTCTTCCTCTTTCATGGTTGGGTGGTTTCCCCTCTAAGACTAAATCTACACTGCATGCCCCTTTTGGTGGCATGTAGCATACACACACTGCATTTCTCCCTAGCACTAGTATAAAAAACAGCACAGATGATAAAGTACTCCTTAGGTGAGTAGAGGAAAGACATGCCTAAAGCTGGTGCATATGTATCCTACTTGCCCACATAGTGCCTCCCTACTCACTGCTATTTTTAGCAGCATAGTGTCCTGCTGCTAGAGTCTTTCCCCAAAGCAGTGAAAGGTTCTGGCACTGAGGAGCCACCAGAGCCTCTCCTGCCCCAGAGCCTTTCCTTGGCATGTGTAGCTACATACCAGTGTGGATGCTGCCTCTGCCCTGCATGCCACCAGGGTGCAGTGTAGACATAGCCTAAGAGGAGCTGCTCTCAACTAGTGAAGAGGGAAAGCTCCATGTTAGAAAACTTAACTTCCTCCTTAAAAAGGATTTGTAGGGGGGAAAGTCTCCAGCAACCAGGGCAAGACCTGATTTTTTTCAATGCTTTTTCACTCTGGCATGCCTTAAACTATGGCAACCAAACTAGATTTCATTTGTAGCCTCAAACCAAGGTCTTCTTTAGAAGACAAATTGACAGTTTGTAGTACTTTATCCTTAAACAAAATAGTTTTGGTCTTCTTACTTGTAGATGGAGACTTAAGTTTTCCTCTCAGAACTTTTGTTTTGGAGGAGTTAGACTCTTTGGAATCTAGCTTTTAAATTCATGATAGCTCTGTCATCAGTAATACAGCATATGTAAACAAAGCCAGTACATTATCCATTACTATCAGCTGTAACTTTTCCTAATTCCCTCATGGGGGCAGATGCTTTGCTTGTCTTCCCAGAGAAAGTGTGGACTCTCACAAAAGGAACTAAGCTTAACATCTAGATGCTGTTAATATTGGTACCCAAAGCACTATTTAAAAAAAAAAATTGTAGAAAAGTTGAGCTGTCAAGCCCTTTAATGACAGGCAGCCCTTGTGTCTCAGAGGTTGATGGAATTATGAAGCTAAATAGGTAGTGTAGTTGACAACAGGCCCACACTTCTAGTGACTTCTTATCTTTAAAGTAGAAGGGAAGGAAGAGCAATGGAGTTAACTCAAATCCCTTTCAGTATTAGAATTATCTGGCTGTTTCAACTAAACTTTTCTAAAAATCAGTTCCATGTGAAGCTAGCTGAGTGAGGACAATGTTAGAAGTAACAATTCTGGCTAGGCATTAACTGAGAGAAAGATACTCAAACTGCCTTGGGCAACCTTGACTGTCTCATGGGAAGTAGGACAAAGGTTAATTGCATACTGTAAATAAAATACTTGAATTTATATGAGGGCAAATAGGTGTTATATATTCAGAGGTCTTTTTCAGGGAATGAGGGTGTTTTGGCACAAGTTTAGTAATATACATGATTGTTCAAATAATTTTGCTTTTTTGTTTAAGTGGACCTAAAGTTGTTAGGTTTAATATACATCTGTTATTTTGATAAAATGTTTATTTTTATATTGCATTTTATAAAATGGAGTGGTCAATGTATGTACTTTTATTATGCATGACTGGGTATTAAACAATTGTCATAACAATCTAGTTCATTTTAAGTGTACATGTACAATAATCTTTTTCAAGTTAGATTAAATGTCATGGAATCACTCCTAAAGATGCAACTTTAAACTTATTTCCCCTCTTGCATTTGTATTTAAGTTGTACTAAACTGAGCATGAGCTGCTTCACTCCTACTCAGGCAAACTGAACTCTTGATTCATTAAATATAGAGACATGAGGCCAATGCTTCCAGCAAGATGGTTGAAGTTAACACTTTTTGTTTTTGTTCAATCAACTTGAATGTTAAAGTTGGCTTAGTTAGCTCAACTGAAATGCCATTTGGCCATTTTAAACAAACAGTCTGAGAATCTTCATTAGGTGAAAGTAAGATGTGACCTGAGTCTGCTGAGATGCAAGAAGACATGTCTATTCCAACTAATTAACTAAACATAGGTTTATCTCCTATTACGGGTACTTTAACTAACAGTAGATGGCATTTGGTAACTGGTAAAAACTCAAGTAGGCTAGTGTGCTATACACCATGCAGTCAGCATCCAGGATAGAATATGAAATGAACATCTGTTGCCTAGTATCTACAACTACAATAAATAAAAAGGGAGTCCTAATATCTATAAATTATAAGGTTATCTGACTGCTAATTGTACTTTAGGGGTGGCTGTAGGATAGAAGATAGTGGGTAGGCTTTGCCTCTTGTCTAGCTTTTCCATCTTTCCACTCTCCTTCCTTACCAGCATACAGTTGTGTATTGTGTCCTTTGTTATAAACACTTACTGGCCAAATTACAACTCCTTAGCATGTCCACTTCCTGCTATGGCTGAGAAACTTAAACATGGTCTTAGGCGTGAATTGTCAGCAACATTTTACTAAAAAGAAAAATGAGTACTTGTGGAACCTTAGAGACTAAAATTTGAGCATAAGCCTTCAGTGCCTTGCATAACGACAGGTTTCAGAGTAGCAGCCATGTTAGTCTGTATTTGCAAATACAGACTAACATGGCTGCTACTCTGAAACCTAACATTTTACTGCATCCTAGTGCACATACAAAGCTAAAAATTGAAGACATAAGCTTGGATACCTACCTCCTTCTAGTAAAATAACTAGTGTTAGTGGTCTAATTGTAATAGTCCTCAGTCAAAAGATAAGTCCACTTTGCTATGTGTTTTGTAAGTGTGCTCATCACAGACTCACCATCCAACATATGATTCAGCATCAGAGGACTGGAATGAAGGTGTAATCACCATGTTTAATCAGAGCATAGATTAAGTCGTATGACACCACTTGAGCCACATAAAACTTTCCTTTAAGTCATGTCGTAGGCTAATACAGCTGCTGAAGTTAATTCAAAATATCATGGGATATTATGAATTTGCTGCACCAGTCCCTGCACCTACCTGGAACAGAGAGAGTTTGAAAGATGCTTTGAACAGTTAATCTATATTTTAATCAAATGCATTTATAGTGCAAATATTGACAATGTGTATTAACTCAGACAAGCACAAATTGAGAATTAATAAAAAAAATTTCCAGCATAATTTTAGATTCGAAACAGAAGTATCTGAGTTTAGAGTTAAATCAAAGTTAAAATATTTGGCAAATATACTAAATCAAAGCATAGTTTCCATAAAACCTAAAGGTATTATTCTGGGAACAGGAATTACAGTTAACAGCTACACATCTTCAAGATATTGGTCTTGGAAGGAATGTATAAGTTTCTGCCCACAAACAGGAGGGTGCTCTTTTAGACAACCTTTTGCAATGGAATGTAGAAACTTACGCAGCATGGCTTACACTTCCACATACTGACCATTTAGTGCATTATCCTAAAAACGCAGCTTCTTCTTTTATATTACTTTGTGTCTAATTGTTCTCTTCAATATTGTGTTGGAACTAATGGATACTACAGGTGTTTTTCTTCTGTGCTGTACTACAGTTGTAGTGATAGATTTCAAAAATGCACAAACAGCTAACCTCACGTATAGGTCAAAATAAAATAGTATCAAAATTAATGTAGTTGAGATACGGCATCAAGCATTACACAATCCAGCAGTTTCTATCCACCTGCATGGAACATGAAAAGATGCATTTGCCTTAGTTTCAAGAAATAACTGAAGCAATACATGACGTTTTGGCTTTCAGCAGAGGAACTTCAGGCATTTTCATAATCTCAGACAAGCACAATCATTTAAGTGAAGTCCCGACTGGTAATGACAAGAGGAGCCACTAGGGTCCAGACATAGAGAAGGAGGCAGACCCAGCTTGAGGAGATCTTCACCCACACAGCTGGCCACTTGCTTGTCATGGTTTTGAAGTCTGCATCAGGACTGTAACAATGGGAAAGAGTTGTTAACGACAAGCCTCCACTTGCCACCGTCTCTGCACTTTTACTGAACCGAAGGTGCAGCATGTTTGGAACATTCCACCATCATTTCCAAAAAGGCTCCTTGTCTTATAAGTGAAGACCCTACACTGCAAAATCCCTCCTTTCAGAACTTTAGAGGTGTCCTGCCACCTGCCAGTCTAAGTACATCCCAGCCTATGTATGTTTATGCATCACCATTCTTACAATTGACCCCACAGCCAGTTATGAACCAACTTCAGTTCTTTATTACAGGCAGCTGTTCCTCCATATACTCTTTCCTTGTTTAAGACAGCACTCACAGCAGCACTAAATGAGAAAATGCAAGACCACCCCATGTAGTAGGTCAGCCAATCACAAGAAAAAGGCAGTAAGTAGGTGGTGGGAGCACAGCCTCAAGATGGATAGTCTCAATAGCTCTGGGGCAACCCTCAGCACATAAGTGGCTTCCATGTCTGTAGCTGCCAACATTCCTTCTCCCGTTTGTCTTCTCAATCTCAAGCTGGGCAAAACCAAACTTTTCAAAGGACAGAGTCCCTGACTAACTCATTATGCCAACAGGAGGAAAGATACACAACCACAGGAATCTGAAGAAAAATCTACTCAGTCTGGTATCTTTTGCCCTTGCAAATTTGGACAATCCTTTATGCAGGCTGCCCTGTCCCTTTCTGTCAATGCCTCAATAAAAAAAAAAGCTAATCACCACAACTTTGATGCAACTATCATGAAGGAAAGATCTGAAACCACAGATATCCCAGATTTAGGAGTAGCCTTCAGACTTCCAATCCCTAAGCTACCAGTGAACTCACTGGATATCAAGGGGAATGGGGCTTAAGAATTCTTCTCCCAGCAGGAATTAAAGCTGCACAGATAGTCAGATCAGCCACCCAGAGTTGAGGTAGCAGGTGCACCTTTCACGTACCTTCGTAAATATATTTTATGTTTAAAAAGTTAAACCCATTTTGTTTCTACCTGTACCAGTTAGTGAGTGTCATCATGATGTAGAGAGAGGCAAGGAGCAACATGAAGTGAAAGAAAGCGTAGCTGTACTGAACTGCCTCTTTCTCATTGTCCATGACCCGACGAACTTCTCCATCTTCCACAGATCCACCATCCATTCCCACAGGGTCATCCAGCATGGCACTGTCACTCCCAGACAAAGTCAGCTTGTTCACCTGGCTATTACTGGAAGAGCGGATGCTGCAAAGTGACCCAAAAAACAAAAGTTAAAAATCCACCCTAGAGAACACAGGGGTAGGTTTCACTAGTGACTATAACTAGTCAAATCTTTTACATCCCCCAAAATGTGTTGCAATTGACTGACATTTTTCCAAAAGGGTAAACAAGGAACGCTCCTTAGGAGATCCATTTCCATTCATGTTACATATCGGAGACCCAAATCTCTGGAATAGGAACATATCTCTCTCCAGAGGCACCTGCCGCTGCTCTGGATATCACTGCAGGTGGCAGCATCACACCAGCAAGTTGACTCCTAGCCTCTGCTAGAGCTGGAAACTCAAGACTAAATGATTCCAGTTGCTGTCAGTGGAAGCAGTGTGCTACTTCTGAACTTCCAGTCCAAGCAAACACCTTACCCCAATGTGTTTATTGTGATTGGAGGTCAGTTCAGAAACAACTCTCCTACTATTTACCTCTGACTTAAGTAACATCCCCCTCCCCACTTCATGCTATTATGGCCTATTTTAGCTTAAGACTTCAACTAATTAAGAACAGGGCTGGTGAAGCCTCTACCCTCCTCACAGTTTTACTAGTCTTCCATATTTTTATTTGCCCACATCAAGCTAGACAGAGCCTTGTGTGCAAGGCAGGTAGATTTCATTCATAAACGCACACAGTTTTCACAAAAGGAAGGCAAGTGCTGTTTCTGCTTTGAGTGACTCAGATCTTACCTAGAATACAGGAGACAAAGAACAAAGATACCAAGTCCAACAATACTCTGTGCATCCCACCACTGCAAGGACTTTGGTGGAGCCTGAGTAGCAGGTATGACAGTTGCATTAGCTGGAGTTATTGTGGGTGCAGTTATCTGTGTGATGATGTTCAACAAACTTGGGTTGCAGCTTCTATCTGAAAGAGGTTTACAAAAAAAAAAAAGTTTAGTAAAACTCATCCCTGTCATCTTCTGTCAGCCAGGTTTGTAGTCTAGAGTTCCTGCTGGACTTCCAATTGCTCTTGGATTCCCTAGTAGCATCAGTGGCAAGAAGTCTTCCCACATTCACTTGACTAGATTAGTGTACTCCAATCAAGCCCTTTCTTAGATCTTTGCACAGATACCATCCTTCCCACATGCCCATCCCCACACTGCTTGATTCTCAAAATATTTAGTTCTGTGTTTCACTAGGAAGGATTTCACAGAATGCAACAGATAAGCCTGGACTAGAGAATTAACTTCAGTCCAGACCTTATCAACCAGGTCTTTGGGACCTCCAGAATAGGTTGCTGCAATATGCACCACACAAAAGAAAGCCACTGAGAAGCTGAATAGGACCACCTGACTATGTAGCAATTCTGTACCCGAGTAAGCACATGTTGTAGGGATTCTCAAATGCATCATTTGATCAGCAATCCCAGCACAATGGCTTCTGATAACAGTAAGCTCCACTGACATGTTTTTGTTTTAAAAATGGAATACC